ATATACACACAGTTGAAGTCGGAAGTTTACATACACCTTAGCCAAATGTAAAATGTAAAACTGAGTTTAAATGTATTTACATTTTCACAATTCCTGACATTTAATCCTAGAAAAAATTCCCTATCTTTATTTTAAGAATGTGAAATGTCAGAATAATAGTAGAAACAATTATTTATTTAAGCTTTTATTTCCATCATCACATTCCCAGTGGGTCAGAAGTTTACACACACTCAATTAGTATTTGGTAGCGTTGCCTTTAAATGGTTTAACTTGGGTCAAACGTTTCGGGTAGCCTTCCACAAGCTTACCACAATAAGTTGGGTGAATTTTGGCCCATTCCTCCTGACAGAGTTGGTGTAACTGAGTCAGGTTTGTAGGCCTCCTTTCTCGCACACACTTTTTCAGTTCTGCCCACAAATGTTCTATAGGATTGAGGTCAGGGCTTTGTGATGGCCAGTCCAATACCTTGACTTTGTTGTCCTTAAGCAATTTTGCCACAACTTTGGAAGTATGCTTGGTGTCAGTGTCCATTTGGAAGACCCATTTGCGACCAATCTTTAACTTCCTGACTGATGTCTTGAGATGTTGCTTCAATATATCCACATAATTTTCCTTCCTCATGATGCCACCTATTTTGTGAAGTGCCCCAGTCCCTCCTGCAGCAAAGCACCCCCACGGCACGATGCTGCCACCCCTGTGCTTCACGGTTGGGATGGTGTTCTTCGACTTGCAAGCACCCCCTTTTTCCTCCAAACATAACAATGGTCATTACGGCCAAACAGTTCTATTTTTGTTTCATCAGACCAGAGGACATTTCTCCAAAAAGTAAGATCTTTGTCCCCATGTGCAGTTGCAAACCGTAGTCTGGCTTTTTTAATTGCGGTTTTGGAGCAGTGGCTTCTTCCTTGCTGAGCGGCCTTTCAGGTTATGTCGATATAGGACTCGTTTTACTGCGGATATAGATACTTTTGTACCTCTTTCCTCCAGCATCTTCACAATGTCCTTTGCTGTTGTTCTGGGATTGATTTGCACTTTTCGCACCAAAGTACGTTCATCTCTAGGAGACAGAACGCGTCTCCTTCCTGAGCGGTATGACGGCTGCGTGGTCCCATGGTGTTTATACTAGCATACTATTGTTTGTACAGATGAACGTGTAACTTCAGGCATTTGAAAATTGCTCCCAAGGATGAACCAGACTTGTGGAGGTCTACAATTCTTTTTCTGAGGTCTTGGCTGATTTATTTTCATTTTCCCATGATGTCAAGCAAAGAGGCACTGAGTTTGAAGGTAGGCCTTGAAATACATCCACAGGTACACCTGCAATTGACTCAAATTATGTCAATTAGCCTATCAGAAGCTTCTAAAGCCATGACATCATTTTCTGGAATTTTCCAAGCTGTTTAAAAGGCACAGTCAACTTAGTGTATGTAAACTTCTGAGCCACTGGAATTGTGATACAGTGAATTATAAATTAAATAATCTCTCCGTAAACAATTGTTGGAAAAATTACTTGTGTCATGCACAAAGTAGATGTCCTACCCGACTTGCCAAAACTATAGTTTGTTAACAAGACATTTGTGGAGTGGTTGAAAAATGAGTTTTAATGACTCCAACCTAAGTGTATGTAAACTTCCGACTTCAACTGTAATATATATATATATATATATATATATATATATATATATATATATATATATATAGTGAGGGAAAAAAGTATTTGATCCCCTGCTGATTTTGTACGTTTGCCCACTGACAAAGATATGATCAGTCTATAACTTTAATGGTAGGTTTATTTGAACAGTGAGAGACAGAATAACAACAAAAAAATCCAGAAAAACGCATGTCAAAAATGTTATAAATTAATTTGCATTTTAATGAGGGAAATAAGTATTTGACCCCTCTGCAAAAGATGACTTAGTACTTGGTGGCAAAACCCTTGTTGGCAATCACAGAGGTCAGACGTTTCTTGTAGTTGGCCACCAGGTTTGCACACATCTCAGGAGAGATTTTGTCCCACTCCTCTTTGCAGATCTTCTCCAAGTCATTAAGGTTTCGAGGCTGACGTTTGGCAACTCGAACCTTCAGCTCCCTCCACAGATTTTCTATGGGATTAAGGTCTGGAGACTGGCTAGTCCACTCCAGGACCTTCATGTGCTTCTTCTTGAGCCACTCCTTTGTTGCCTTGGCCGTGTGTTTTGGGTTATTGTCATGCTGGAATACCCATCTTCAATGCCCTGGCTGAGGGAAAGAGGTTCTAACCCAAGATTTGACGGTACATGGCCCCGTCCATCGTCCCTTTGATGCGGTGAAGTTGTCCTGTCCCCTTAGCAGAAAAAGACCCCCAAAGCATAATGTTTCCACCTCCATGTTTGACGGTGGGGATGGTGTTCTTGGGGTTATAGGCAGCATTCCTCCTCCTCCAAACACGGCGAGTTGAGTTGATGCCAAAGAGCTTCATTTTGGTCTCATCTGACCACAACACTTTCACCCAGTTCTCCTCTGAATCATTCAGATGTTCATTGGCAAACTTCAGACGGGCCTGTATATGTGCTTTCTTGAGCAGGGGGACCTTGCGGGCGCTGCAGGATTTCAGTCCTTCACGGCATAGTGTGTTACCAATTGTTTTCTTGGTGACTATGGTCCCAGCTGCCTTGAGATCATTGACAAGATCCTCCCGTGTAGTTCTGGGCTGATTCCTCACCGTTCTCATGATCATTGCAACTCCACGAGGTGAGATCTTTCATGGAGCCCCAGGCCAAGGGAGATTGACAGGTATTTTGTGTTTCTTCCATTTGCGAATAATCACACCAACTGTTGTCACCTTCTCACCAAGCTGCTTGGCGATGGTCTTGTAGCCCATTCCAGCCTTGTGTAGGTCTACAATCTTGTCCCTGACATCCTTGGAGAGCTCTTTGGTCTTGGCCATGGTGGAGAGTTTGTAATCTGATTTATTGATTGCTTCTGTGGACAGGTGTATTTTATACAGGTAACAAACTGAGATTAGGAGCACTCCCTTTAAGAGTGTGCTCCTAATCTCAGCTCGTTACCTGTATAAAAAGACACCTGGGAGCCAGAAATCTTTTTGATTGAGAGGGGGTCAAATACTTATTTCCCTCATTAAAATGCAAATCAATTTATAACATTTTTGGCATGCGTTATTCTGGATTCTTTGTTGTTATTCTGTCTCTCACTGTTCAAATAAACCTACCATTAAAATTATAGACTGATCATTTCTTTGGCAGTGGGCAAACGTACAAAATCAGCAGGGGATCAAATACTTTTTTCCCCTAGCTGTGTGTGTATGTATATACAGTGGGGGAAAAAAAGTATTTAGTCAGCCACCAATTGTGCATGTTCTCCCACTTAAAAAGATGAGAGAGGCCTGTCATTTTCATCATAGGTACACGTCAACTATGACAGACAAATTGAGAATTTTTTTTCTCCAGAAAATCACATTGTAGGATTTTTAATGAATTTATTTGCAAATTATGGTGGAAAGTAAGTATTTGGTCACCTACAAACAAGCAAGATTTCTGGCTCTCACAGACCTGTAACTTCTTCTTTAAGAGGCTCCTCTGTCCTCCACTCGTTACCTGTATTAATGGCACCTGTTTGAACTTGTTATCAGTATAAAAGACACCTGTCCACAACCTCAAACAGTCACACTCCAAACTCCACTATGGCAAAGACCAAAGAGCTGTCAAAGGACACCAGAAACAAAATTGTAGACCTGCACCAGGCTGGGAAGACTGAATCTGCAATAGGTAAGCAGCTTGGTTTGAAGAAATCAACTGTGGGAGCAATTATTAGGAAATGGAAGACATACAAGACCACTGATAATCTCCCTCGATCTGGGGCTCCACGCAAGATCTCACCCCGTGGGGTCAAAATGATCACAAGAACGGTGAGCAAAAATCCCAGAACCACACAGGGGGACCTAGTGAATGACCTGCAGAGAGCTGGGACCAAAGTAACAAAGCCTACCATCAGTAACACACTACGCTGCCAGGGACTCAAATCCTGCAGTGCCAGACGTGTCCCCCTGCTTCAGCCAGTACATGTCCAGGCCCGTCTGAAGTTTGCTAGAGTGCATTTGGATGATCCAGAAGAGGATTGGGAGAATGTCATATGGTCAGATGAAACCAAAATAGATATTTTTGGTAAAAACTCAACTCGTCGTGTTTGGAGGACAAAGAATGCTGAGTTGCATCCAAAGAACACCATACCTACTGTGAAGCATGGGGGTGGAAACATCATGCTTTGGGGCTGTTTTTCTGCAAAGGGACCAGGACGACTGATCCGTGTAAAGGAAAGAATGAATGGGGCCATGTATCATGAGATTTTGAGTGAAAACCTCCTTCCATCAGCAAGGGCATTGAAGATGAAACGTGGCTGGGTCTTTCAGCATGACAATGATCCCAAACACACCGCCCGGGCAACGAAGGAGTGGCTTCGTAAGAAGCATTTCAAGGTCCTGGAGTGGCCTAGCCAGTCTCCAGATCTCAACCCCATAGAAAATCTTTGGCGGGAGTTGAAAGTCCGTATTGCCCAGCGACAGCCCCAAAACATCACTGCTCTAGAGGAGATCTGCATGGAGGAATGGGCCAAAATACCAGCAACAGTGTGTGAAAACCTTGTGAAGACTTACAGAAAACGTTTGACCTGTGTCATTGCCAAGAAAGGGTATATAACAAAGTATTGAGAAACTTTTGTTATTGACCAAATACTTATTTTCCACCATAATTTGCAAATAAATGCATAAAAAATCCTACAATGTGATTTTCTGGAGAAAAACATTCTCATTTTGTCTGTCATAGTTGACGTGTACCTATGATAAAAATTACAGGCCTCTCTCATCTTTTTAAGTGGGAGAACTTGCACAATTGGTGGCTGACTAAATACTTTTTTCCCCCACTGTATATATACATACATATACATACACATATATGCATACATACACATATATGCATGTTCGTTTACAGTGTGTGTGTTTACCCACCCATTGCGATAGCAGCCAGTTTATTTTTCTCCTCAGGGCTGAGTTGTAACATGGTGTGTATGACGGGGAGTAGAGCCTGCCTCTCACTGCCTGACTGCAGGAAGATGAACTGTAAGAGGACATTCTTCAGATACTCCAGGTTGGCTACACTCTTCTCTCTCTCATGGTTACGCTCCAGACGACGCACTTCAGACTTCAACAGCTAGAGAAGAAAGAAGAAGTACACAAAGAAACAAGTATGAATGTGTGAGCGAGCACTGTATATGTAAGTGAGAGAGAGTCTGTGAAAGAGAGAATATCTGTTTCATCAGTACTGTGTGTGTGTGTGTACGTACATTGACCTGTTCCATCAGAACAGCATTGGTAGCCTCTGTTTCATGCAGTAGACTGTTCATGTGTTCCATACTGCGTGTAGCTGTGGTCAACTTCTGATTCAATTCCTCTTTAGTCGGCTCCACCTGCCACACAAACGGCTCTACAACCAATCACACAAACAAATGGTGCTTTAGCAGACAGTTGTATTCGAAGACACAGTTCACAGTATGTAAAATAAGTGTCCCTTGTGGGAATCAAACCAACAACTATGTAGCCATTGGAGACATGCATGTACAGTTCATTCGGAAAGTATTCAGACCCCTTGACTTTTTCCACGTTACGTTACAGCCTTATTCTAAAATTGATTAAATTGTTTTTTCCCCCTCATCAATCTACACACAATACCCCATAATGACAAAGCAAAAACAGGTTTTTAGAAATGTTTGCAAAGTTATTTCAAATAAAAAGCTGAAATATCACATTTACATAGGTATTCAGACCCTTTACTCAGTACATTGTTGAAGCACCTATTGGAAGCGATTACAGCCTCGAGTCTTCTTGGGTATGACGCTACAAGCTTGGCACACCTGTATTTGGGGAGTTTTCCCATTCTTCTCTGCAGATCCTCTCAATCTCTGTCAGGTTGGATGGGGAGCGTCGCTGCACAGCTATTTTCAGGTCTCTCCAGAAATGTTCGATCGGGTTCAAGCCCGGGCTCTGGCTGGGCCACTCAAGGACATTCAGAGACTTGTCCCGAAGCCATTCCTGCGTTGTCTTGGCTGTGTGCTTAGGGTCGTTGTCCTGTTGGAAGGTGAACTTTCGCCCCAGTCTGAGGTCCTGAGCAGGTTTTCATCAAGGATCTCTCTGTACTTTGCTCCGTTCATCTTTCCCTCGATCCTGACTAGTCTCCCAATCCCTGCCGCTGAAAAACATCTCCACAGCATGTTGCCACCACCATGCTTCACCGTACGGATGGTGCCAGGTTTCCTCCAGCCGTGACACTTGGCATTCAGGCTAAAAAGTTCAATCTTGGTTTCATCAGACCAGAGAATTTTGTTTCTTATGGTCTGAGTCCTTTAGGTGCCTTTTGGCAAACTCCAAGCGGGCTGTCGTGCCTTTTACTGAGGAGTGGCTTCCGTCTGGCCACTCTACCATAAAGGCCTGATTGGTGGAGTGCTGCAGAGATGGTTGTCCTTCTGGAAGGTTCTCCCATCTCCACAGAGGAACTCTGGAGCTCCTTCAGAGTGACCATCGGGTTCTTGTTCACCTCCCTGACCAAAGCCCTTCTCCCCCTCAGTCTTGGTGGTTCCAAACTTCTTCCATTGAAGAATGATGGAGGCCACTGTGTTCTTGGAGACCTTCAATCCTGCAGACATTTTTTGGTGTCCTTCCCCAGATCTGTGCCTCGACACGATCCTGTCTCGGAGCTCTACGGACAATTCCTTCGACCTCATGGCTTGGTTTTTGCTCCGACATTTACATTTTTAGTCATTTAGCAGACGCTCTTATCCAGAGCGACTTACAGTTAGTGAGTGCATACATTTTTCATACTGGCCCCCCGTGGGAATCGAACCCACAACCCTGGCGTTGCAAACGCCATGCTCTACCAACTGAGCTACAGGAGGAACGTGCACTGTCAACTGTGGGACCTTGTATAGACAGGTGTGTGCCTTTCCAAATCATGTCCAATCAATTGAATCTTCCACAGATGGACTCCAATCAAGTTGCAGAAACATCAAGGATGATCAATGGAAACAGGATGTACCTGAGCTCAATTTCAAGTCTCATAGCAAAGGGTCTGAATACTTATGTAAATAAGGTATTTCAGTTTTACACACAACTATTTTTTTGCTTTGTCATTATGGGGTATTGTGTGTAGATTGAGGAAAAATATTGATTTAATCCATTTTAGAATAAGGCTGTAATGTAACAAAATGTGGAAAAAGTAAAAGGGTCTGAATACTTTCCGAATGCATTGTATGCACACGTACCCTGTTTGGGGTCTGGGGAGGTGAGTAGGTGTTCCAGTGAGGGTAGGTGTGTGTGTGTGGGTGACAGGGACTCTGTCTCGGAGGTCTCCATGCCCTCCCCCTCCTCTCTAGCCATGGACTGGAGATCACTGAGGCCCAGGCCCAGCCCCCCCATTCCCCCCTGGTCCACGGGCCGGCGGTCCACCACTGGTTTACGACTGGTCTGGACTGGAGCTGGACCTGGAGGGAGACGGGGAGGAAGGCAACACATATCATACAGTCATGCTGGGCAGAGAGCAACAATGTAATTCCCTATTTCACGAGTGTGAAATCCAGAAGCATAGAAGACTGGGGGATACATTTATAAACAGAGGATGATTTTTTTTTTTAACTGTGCTGAAAAATAGCAGATTTCACAGGTAGGTGTGTTGAGTGTGTGAGAGAGAGAGAGAGAGGCAGAGAAAGAGAGAGGGCAGGTGCCCGTGGGCAGTGTCTGATTGATGGACTGAGAGAGCGTGAGAGACGTGTGGGTAGAACCACCTGCAGCCCACCTTGCCCTTCACACCCTAGAGAACACACACAGCTTTGTCTTACTATACTTGTGAGGACTTTTTGGGGACCAACAATTGATTCCCATTCAAAATCCTATTTTCCCTAAACCTAAAAACAGCCTTTTTACAAGTCAGGGCAGGCAAAATGTCCTCACTTCTTTGAATTTTTGTTGGTTTACTATTCTTGTGTGGACTTCTGGTACTCACAAGTATAGTAAAACGTGTCCACACACACGCAGAGTCTCTGGAACCTCTTGACCATAATTTGCACTTGAGGTTAACATCATTTTCACTTTGAGATTCAATCAAATCTAGAACATTTTACAGTTCAGATGAAGGAAGAGAGACAAGGAGAGGAAGCTAGTTAAGACTATAGGAAGGGATCCAGCCCTGCTGTCTCCAGAAGTACTGCTTGGCCCAACTATGTGTGTTAGGGTGGCACTAATGACCAGGCTCTCCAGATGCCAGTGTGCTAGTGCCACCCAGAGGGGCAGGCAGAGCAGAGCTGGTTAAGGCTGGATGGGCTCTCTGTACCCTTCATACTAACTAACACCTGGCTAGGCTGCTGAGATGAAGTGTGTCCCATCTTTACACAGCTGCACTACAACACTGGACGAGTAAGATGAAGAGACAGAGGGAGGGGGCGAGAAAGAGAGTGTGTGTTTACTCTGAGTGGCTCCTGAGACCAGGTGTATGGGAGGTGATATATTAGCTCTTTCAGCTCTGCTCTCTCATACTCAACTAGGGCTGTTACGGTGACCGTATTACCGCCACACTGGCGGTCACGAGTCATGACGGCAGTCAAATTCCACGTGACCGTTTATTCCAAGGTAATTAGGCTTCTCCGAGCTCTGATGCTGCTGATGGTGATTAGCCTACCAAACTTGCTAACTGCCTGGTAATCAGCACTCTATTGCAAATGTATTTGAAAATCTAATCAAACACTTCATGAGAGCCCATGAGCTCATGTTGCGCAACATTTCTATAGGCTATGCAATTGCTTGATAAAAAACAGTTTTGATGGCCTCTATTAAAAAGAGGAGCATCCCATCAGCTTTCTATAGGCTAGGCCTACTATATTTAATTATCAACTTTCCTAATATTAAGCACATTGCTTCACTTTACAACAGGAGTATAGCCTACCTGGCTGGCATGAAAATGAACCACAGGAAAAGCGTCCTCCAGTTGCTATTTAAGTGCATAGATGACTTTGTATTTATTTACTGTTTATGCCCCTGTTCCTAGACAGGTGCATGATAATGGTCCATTCTAAATCAAAACAAATCCCACACATACTATATAGTATATGTAAAGAAAACATTAAATTAAGAATAGTCTGATGGGTGACAATATTAGTGAATTATGTATTATCACTTGTGAATGATGGCCAGCTTGTACAGTAAGGCAAAAAACAGTGCATGCCTTTTTCTCTCTTGACTTTTTCAAATCATAGTCACACACCTCATGTAGCCTAGCCCATAGACCTACAGTATATGTTTTGATAAGGTTTGTATCACAACTAAAGTGGCCAAATAACTTTTTTAAATTAAGCACATTAATCCGCTTTATAACGGTGTAGAGCCTAACTGGCATACATAGGCTGCAGGTGAGTTTCAAGTTTGGCGAAAACATGCACCTTTATAATAAAGCATTACATGCATAATTGCATTTGTCGTCACTTTCAAGAACAGTGCAAATGCAATCGAAAATCACATCAAACACTTGTCTGACACGTAATTGGTCTAGCCTTTGAGTGTGGCCAGTATTATTATGCATATTGGATGGACCGGTTACCTTATGCTATGCTCCAAAATGTATATCCATGAGTCTGGGAGAGAACATATAGCCCTAGGCGATGCTGTTGGTTCATGGATTGTGCAGGGCGGCTTACAGTTAGCCTACAATTAGTGAATTTGTATTTGAATAGCCTAGTGATAGGGAATTTTTTATATTTTCATAATGAATAGGCTGACACATTACCTTTAGCTACAGAATCTCACCACCATGTGTTTCCATCTCCTCCTTTCACTCCTTTATTCCTTTCTTGAGCGCGCAGACGGGCTGTCAACAGTTTAATGAATTATATTTCGTTGCGAAACCACGTTACTATCGATGTTCCTGAACAGATTTCACTTGGTTTCCCAAATGAAGCACTGGGTAGCTGCAGGGACAGGGTTGGAGAGCCCATGGCGTACAGAGTCTGGGTGGAATATCACCTGTCGGGCAGCGAGAGCATGCTCCTCAAACAGTGGTTGATGCGTGGAGTGAAATAAGTGTTTTTGTATTTATTTTTCTGCTGCTCATATTAAAGCACATGCTCCACTATAAAACCGAAGTAGCCTACAAAACGGACTGGTGGGAAAGCTCATGGCCTCCATTCCCTATTTGAGTGCATACAGATGACATGTCTTTTTTACACTGCCCCCCTGCCCATTTGATAATGGGCCATTCTAAATCTAAACTAATTTTACATATTAGTAAAGACAATATTACATTTAGAATAGTGTGATGGGTGTATATCACTTGATGGGTGTATATCACTTGATGAGAGAACAGCTGTGCAGCCTGAGGCAAGGAACAGAGCGCAAGACCTGTTTCAATCACTTTTACGCGCAATATAGTCATGTAGTACGCACACTTGCTCCGTAATGGGAAAAATCTATTATATTCTTCTTACTATAAAATAAAATAATGGCATGGGACTTATAAGCATATCTTGTCAGCTAAATGAACAAGCCTACATCATATGGCATGGAGAATAACCAGATAACATACAGTAGGCCAACTCATATTCTGTTTTTCTGAAATGCATTTTCTTCATATCATGTTTCTTTAGACCTGACTAAAATAAATAATGGATTTATTGTTACGTGTATATTAAATTGATTTATTATACTTTTTTTAATGTAGTATGAAAATGTATGCACTCACTAACTGTAAATCGCTCTGGATAAGAGCGTCTGCTAAATGACTAAAATGTAAAAAAAAAAAATGTATAAGTACCCAGGAGGGGACACATATTATTATTGTATTCTATAGCAGCTGACAAAGTCAGTGCCTTTTGTTTTGACTTCCTACAAGCCTCTTGGCTGGTGATTACAGTGTGGAGGCCTGGAGATGCTAAAGTGTTTATGTTAATTAACGGTCAATTACCGTGAGACCGGCAGTCTTTTGCATGACCGCCACAGCCCTACTCACAACCCCTCGCGCTACCTTTCCCCTGGCCTCCATCCATCTCCCACTCTCCCCTCTCCCTCTTTAACCCAACACTCACCCCCCTTCCTGTCTTTTTCTCTCCCCTCTTCTCTCATCCTTTCCAAAACCCCACTTTCCTCTTTCCCTCTCTCAACCAAATCATGTTCTCTCCCTCTCCTCTCCTCTCCCTCCCCTCCTGTCTTACTGGTCTGTTTCTGCAGTGTAAACAGTTGGTTCTCCAGCCTGGTCATCTGGTTCTGCAGGGTCTCTACTGTAGTTCTGTGTTCGTCCTGAAGATGGCGGATCTGCTCCCTGAACCCTGAGCGCTGGGCCTCGGCCTGCGAGGTTAGCTGACCCACCGTCTGAGCATGCTCTGTCCGCGTTGACATAATCTCAGCCTGGAGAGACATGAGTCTGGGGGGGAAGCGAGGGAGTATGAAATACAGAAGAAGGGGAGAGGGGGAAACAGGGGTTTTTGAAGATGAGGGCTGTTACTGTGGACTCAGTTGACTGTTAACAGACTGATATAAAACATTAGCTCTGAGAGCTAATACAAGTATTCAGGGACACATACACCCGTACCTCTCTCTGAGTTCGGCCTCTTTAGTGACGGTCTCCTGCAGTATCTTGTTGTGTCGTTCCAGCAGTGTGTCATGTTCCATCTGGAGCTGTTGTAGTTCTGCAGTGCTCACGGCCAGACTCTGCTGACTGTCCTGCAGCTTGGCTTTATACTGGTCCACCATGGACTCCATCTGGTCCCTGTGACACACACATTATTATCATATAACACACACACACACACACACAATCTATAGCTATACCTCTCCTGTTTAGTGGCGTCACCGTCGCTCTGTGCTGAGGTTTTGTTCTTCTGTTGTTTGAGGACGTTGTGAACTCTGACCTTATAGCTGTCAAACTCAGCAGTGACAGATGACAGCTCAGCCTGGAAATAACATTCACATCACACATTAATTTATGTTTTACTTAATTAAAAGCCTAACAAACTGTTTGTAAGCACACATATATTAGAAGCACATATTATATGGTACCGGTTTTCATATTACATCTGTATTTTCACCCTGAACTGCATGTAGTTGTGTTTCTGCAGACCAGCAGTTAATTAATATGACGGTGTATTGTGTGTGCCAGTGTATCGGTATTGTAATGAATAGTACAGTGTTAGTGTGTACATCCCTGAGGTAGGCAACCCAGCAGCACTTCCTCTACCGTGGAGCCAGACCGTACCATTCATCATCACCCACTAGACCCCAGGGGGACACCCCCATAATGTTTGGTTTCAACCATTTAGCAAAGCTGCACACTAACACTCAACTGATGAGAAATCCATAACACTATTTCTACTGCCTGAGCTGAGAGAGAGGATGAGAGGGAGAGGAGAGAGAAAGAGAGAGACCGAAGGAGAGAGATAGGGTTTAGGGTAGAGGAACGGAGAAGAGAGATAAATGGAAGGTAGAGAGAGAGAATAAGATGAGAGAGAGGGAGGAGAGAACTGGATGTAGGATGGTGTGTGTGTGTGTGTACCTTGGCAGTGTTAGCCTCCTGCTGTAGTGTGGTCAGTCTGTGTTGCAAGGAGCTGCTTGTTCTCTGCTGTTGTTCAGTCAGAGTCCTCAGCTGCTCCTGCAGTCTGTGGCGCTCCGCAGTCAGTTCACAGCACTGGATCTATACAAGAACACAAGAGCCACTGATATAATAACTGATACAACACATCGGGACAGATAATATTGTGACACAGTATGTACTCATCCATTACCCCTTTCAGACACAGGGTGTTACCTTTAAAGTACTGTCTTGTTGCAGGCTCAGGTGTCTGTATTTGTATTTATTATGGATCCCCATTAGCTGCTGCCAAGGCAGCAGCTACTCTTCCTGGGGTCCAGCAAAATTAAGGCAGTTATACCATTTTAAAAACATTACCATACATTCACAACAGATTTCACAACACATTAAGTCTGTCTGAATGGGTTCAGGGACTGCCATCTTACCTTGCTGTTCTCCAATTGCTGTTGATGTGCCTCCAGCTCTCCCTTCAGAGAGGCCAGCGTCATCATCTGAATGGCTTCCTGCACACACAAACACACACTTATTAATACACTATTTACGTGCACAGACACTACACATTCAAGGAAACCAACTCCAATGTATTACAGAACACTGTAAACACTCATTTGACTAAAATGTGATCCACTGGGACCCTCTCCCTGTACTCCAGGTAATCAGGTCCCTGGGGTCTGACCTGTCTCTTGGTGTCAGCCAGGTCTTTCTTGGTTTTCACCAGCAGCTGTTTCATCTTGGAGCTCTTGTCCTCCCCCTGGTCAAGCTGGGACTTCAGACCCTCTGGGAGAACACACAGAAACAGGTTAGAAGAATGGATTACAGTACAAAGGCCATTGTTATAATGAATGAAACACATTATAGAGACGTATAGGCCTTTGATTTGCAGTAAACTGATTTAGTGCTGCTTCTTCAGTTAGTGGGTTGGCTGTAAAAAAAGTATGTCAGTGGGGCGAATGGTAGGGATCAGTGTTTGTGTGTACCGATCTCCTGGTTGAGTGAGACTTCTTGCTGTGTGTGTGTGTTTATCTGTGTTTTCAGCTCCTCCACACACACGTCTTTCTCTGACAGTTTAGTGTTGAGTTCTTTGACCAGGCGTTCATAGTCTGCCATCTCCATGTCCAACAACGAGCTCTGCTGGGCCTCCTGGAAAGACAAAAACACACATATTCACAACATATACACACACTGAATCCCATTTCTACACAAATCTTAGTATGAGTAATGGAAAAGCAGCTTCCAGTGCTTGAGGGTAAACTGTTACTTTGACATCCTGCTAGATTCTGAGTGTTGTTTTTTAGGACTAGAGGCAACACGACACACAACATCACGACACACAATTCCCGGTGAGGGTTAGAAGTAAGGGCTTTACCAGCTCTTTATTTGAGTGGCCTTGCCATGTTCGCGCGTGTGTGTGTGTGTGTGTGGGGGGGGGGGGGGGGGGGGGGGGGGGGGGGGGGGGGGGGGTATTTGTGTACCTTGCGTAGCTGCTCCAGCTCCTGTGTTGTCTGCTGAGACTGCTGCTTCTGTCTGCGGAGCTGAACTGTCAGCTCCTCTACCTCCTTCTGCAATGACGACAGCTCCTGGAGACACACAACACAGTTATACTTGTGAGGACTTTATGGGGACCAACAATTGATTCCCATTCAAAATCCTATTTTCCCTAACCCCTAAAGATAACCCTAAGCCTAAAATAGCCTTTCTAGAAGCGATGACTGGAAAAAATTTCCTCACTTCTCTGAATTTTAGGTGGCTTACTATTCTTGTGTTGACTTCTGGTACTCAGAAGTATAGTAAAACGTGTCCACACATTTAGGTCATTTAGCAGACGCTCTTATCCAGCACGACTTACAATCAGTGCATTGAACTAAGATAGTTCTCTCTCACACACACCTTTGTCTTCTGTTCCTTCAGTAGTCTCTCAGCCTGCAGGTCTCTGTTCAGGGTGTCTGTCTGTCTGTGTAGCTCTGCTGTCTGTCCTTCCATCTGTCTCACTGTACTCCTAAGAGTCTCCAACCCAGTCATCAGGTCCTCTCTCTCCGACCACAGTTGTTCATGCTGGACACAGAACACGCATTCACTCAAACATCACTCATGAGTTCTTGGCAAACACCAGTCCCCTTGGCCATATAATCAGTCAGCCAGAATTCACATCAACAATAACATCACATCAGGTAAACATATCTAACAAAGACATCCAGGGAAGTCTCAGACACTGTTATGAGTTTGTCTGTATTTCCAGTCTGTATTGTACCAGGGGAGCTCTCAGCTCACACAGCCAAGACCAGCATCTGTCTCAGTAGACTGACAACGCTACAACAGCAGATGGAACCAGCCACTGTTTCATTTACACACACTCCGTTACTTCACTAGAAACAGACAATTAGGAAGAGAAAAATATAATCATAAGAAAAGGAGGAATTAAAAAGAATGAACTAATGGACAGTTTGTATTTGGACTGGGGGGGAAACTGTCAGTCTGGTTGAGCACGCTGGATGACTTCTGAGCATGGTTTGTGTGTGAGACTGTAGTGTGTGTGTCGGTGTTACCTGTTGTACGGCAGTGTTGAGTCGTTTGGTCAGCTCGGAGATCTGTTTCTCAGCTCCCTCCACCTTCTCTCTCTCCTTATCCAGCTCCTCTGTCTGCCTGTCGTAGTCCAGCTGCAAGTTCTGTAACACACATACACTTAATAATAAACACATTCATTATTGAATAGGCGTTGTGCAGCTTAATTAAGCAATAAGGCACGAGGGGGTGTGGTATGTTCTTATGCGCGACGCAACGTGGAGTGCCTAGATACAGCCATTAGCCATGGTATATTGGCCATATACCACAAACCCCCGAGGTGCCTTATTGCCATTATAAACTGGTAATTAGAACAGTAAAAATATTTGTTTTCTAAATATATGGTCTGATATACCACGGCTTTCAGCCAATCAGCATTCAGGGCTCAAACCACCCAGTTTATAATGCAGAATAACACCTGCGCATATATCAAGCTGCCTGTTCTACAGTGACAGGGTATTCATCCATTCAGGTCTAGAACAAAACTCCCATTAAACACAGAAGAGTGATTTAATCTCTAATGGCTTCCAAAGCCAATTCATAAAGACAACCGTCTGAACCCGTTTAATGTGGCTGTTGTGCATTATACTAAATGAAACAAACAGAAAGCTCCCTATTGAACAGACACACTTAGCAGCCCTGGCCAGCAAGCTAGAGCATTAGGGGAAAATACACTTATTTTCCTCTTCATCTCTTCAGGTGTTTTTTTGCAATGAAACAGATTTGTACCACCAGCCAAATAAGCAATTCACTATTGATTTCTGTGTTGTTCATTCTGTATAAGGTAGGGATGTAGTGAGGGGTCAGGGCTAGGGGTCAGGGGTTACGGGTGAGTAGTACCTTGTATCCCTCTGCTCCATGGATGATGTCTTTCATTGAGCTTGTCACCCTCTCTCTCTCAGCCTTCAACACCTCCACTTCCTCCTTTAGAGACACAGCCTCTTTCCTGCTGGTGTCCAGCTCCTTCCTGGCTTTCACAGCCACCGCCTTGATCTTATTCATCCTCTCATCCTTTTCTTTGCGCTCCTTCTCCAGCAGGGCTGAGATGGAGGGATGAGACATCATCACACACAGATCATTGGAAGAATCAGAATCCCTCAAATGATTGGCACTTTGCATCTGTCATTCTTATATGAGCTTAATAAGCATCTAGGAAGACCTAAAAACAAACAAGAATGACATTTTTTGTATTGCTCATCTGTCATAGTATTATTACACATTAGATTCCTGTTCTGTTCTCCATTAGACAGTAGTAATTAGGAACATACCAATTTTCTCAGTGAACACATTGGCTGTGTTCTCCTCTGAGACAGGAGACTGGGTTGTAGACTAGTGGGGGGAGAGAGAGACAGAGAGAGAGGAAGGGAGAGGGTGGAAGGGAAAGAGAGGGAGGAAAAGTAAATCTGTAGCTCAGTTGGTAGAGCATGGCGCTTGCAACGCCAGGGTTGTGGGTTCGATTCACACGGGGGGCCAGTATGAAAATGTATGCACTCACTAACTATAAGTTGCTCTGGATAAGAGCGTCTGCTAAATGACTAAAATGTAAATGTAATGAAAAATACCACAGCAGTCACTTTGACAAACCATAGCTTGGGAAAAGAGCTGGGGGCAAAAAAGCAATCCCTTTTTGTCCTTTAGATGGTGTGTGCATGTTGAGAAGGAAAGAAGCCAGAAGAACTCACCTGTAAGCCAGCCATCTCACTTCTCAACTGAGATATCACGGTGTCCTTCTCTGTTAGCTGCTGTTGTAGCTCTCTCCTCTCCTTCTCCGCCTGTTCTTCCTCCACCTCTCCCTCCCTCTCTCTGTCTGCCAGTGTCTCTGTAGCCTGGCTGACTTGTGTCAGTAGTTCTTGGTTCTCTGTTCTCATCTTTTCATTGGCCAGTTTCATCTCCCTCAGGTCTCTCTGTAGAGCTTCAGTATCTCCCACCACCTCCCCCAGATTACTCCTCAGGAGGCTCCTCTCCTTCTCCAGATCCTCTATACGAGCCTGCAGCTCCTCCACCTCCTCCCCTGGGCTCCCCTGCACCTTCTCACACCTCTCCCTCTGCACCTCCTCTAGATTATTCTTCAGCAGGCTCCTCTCCTTCTCTAACTCCTCTATACGAGCCTGCAGCTCCTCCACCTCCTCCCCTGGGCTCCCCTGCACCTTCTCAGACCTCTCCCTCTGCACCTCCTCTAGATTATTCTTCAGCAGGCTCCTCTCCTTCTCTAACTCCTCTATATGAGCCTGCAGCTCAGCCACCTCCTCTCTTTGGCCTTGACTCTCCTCCACCTCCCTCTCCCTTTCCTCCCTCAACCTCACCACCTCCATCTCTCTGTCCTGCAGTGCTGACAGTGTTATGTCTCTCGCTGTGCTCACCACATTAAGTGTCTCCTCTAACTCCTGAACAGCACTCTCCTTCATCTGCAGCTGAGAGACGATCTCCCCGTTCTGCCTGATCAGATCCTCCACCGAAACCCTTAGCTCTACGGCTAACGCGGTCTGCACCTCAAGAGATGCCTTTAGCTCAGAGGCTAACACTGTCTGCGCCTCTACTGAGTCCTTTAGCTCGAGGGCTAACGCATTCTTCTCCTCCAGAGACGTCTGCAGCTGCTCCTTCAGCCCCTCGGCTGCCTGTGTCTGCTCCAGGAAGCTCTCCAGCCTCTTCTCTAGGCCCTGGACCTTCTCCAGCAGGCTCGCTCTGTCTTCATCCAACCCTCTCACCCTCTCCACCAGACCATCTCTCTCCTCAGTAAGCCCTCTGACTCTCTCCTGTAGCTCCTGGACTGCAGAAGCCCCCTGTTCCTTCATAGCTTCATACTGTCTGGCGATGTCCCCGGTCCTATGACCTAGCTCAGTCTCCAGGCCTCTCAGGATGTCTCTGGTGCGTTCGTACTCAGCCACCGCCTGGCTCCTGTCTCTGGCTAGGGACTCACATTCTGCCACCACCTGCCTCCTCTCTCTGGCTAGGGACTCACATTCACCCACGGCCTGGCTCTTCTCCCTGGCTAAGGTCTCACACTGGGCCCTCAGCTCCTGGACCTCCAGGATCAATCTCTGCTGTTCTTGCAGGGTCAGGCTCTGGTGGTCTGCACCAGGGACAGGGCTAGACAGGCTCTGTCTGGGGCTAGAAGGGCTGGCAGGTAGGCTGTCCACTGGGTCTCTCTGTGGGCCGCTCAGCTGGAGCTGAGTGAACGCTTGAGCCTCCTGAAGTTCACGGTTAGGGGTTGCAAGGATCAGAAGGTCACGGTTAGGGGTCATATTTACGTCAGGGGTCGCAACCTCCCGGGTCATCAGCAACTCTTCGATCTTAAACTCTAGTTCCTCCTTCTCTGTCTGAAACTCCTCCCTTACCCTCTCAAGCTCCGCCTCCAGTTCAGTCTTCACATTGCCCAGGAAGATCAGCTCGTCTTGCAGCATGGTATTCTGTGATTGCTGGTCCTCCAGGGCAGATCGGAGCTGTCCGCGCTCAGTCTCTCCATCACTGGCATCAATCTGACTTACACCAGACAGCTCCAACATCCTGGCTATCCCTGAGCTGCGGCCACTAGGCTCCTCCTCTTCCTCCTGCACATCCTGCAGGAAGCTGTCATAACAAGAAAAGGAAGAAGATTGGATTAATAAAGCACTTTTTCTAGTTGCTCAAAGCGTTTTACTGTACATTGTATGACTCTTCTTGTCCATCCTCAATGTGTAGCACTATGACCCACCTGTCTTTGAGAGCCAGCTGCTCACTGAGCTCCTCTTGGAGGAGTAGCAGTCTCTCTCTCTCCATCTCAAAGTCCTCCTCCAGAGCTCTCAGCTCCTCTTCATGTTGCACACTATGCTGAGCCAACTCCTCTCTCAGGTTCTCTACTTCCTGCTGGGCCTGAAAGTAAAATAAACACACACACACAGTTTATTGCAACATTTAAAGCAGAAGGTCTTCATCAACTGTCAGTTTACAACAGTGTAAGGGTTTTTCGTTTGTGACATTTTTCGTACACTACTTTTCAACTAACCTCTGTCAGTGCCCTCTGATGGTCTTCCTGCAGCGCTGCAGCCTCCTGGGCGCTCCGCTCCATGGCTGCAGCTAGCTCCGTCTGCAGACTCAGGATCTGTGACTCCAGGCTGCGACTTACGGCTTCTACACTCTCGCCCGAGTCTTCCCTTTCTCTCTGCTTTTCTTTCTCTCTTTCTCTCTCTTTCTCTCGGTCACTCTCTTCTTTCTCCCTCAGAAGCCTCTGGAAGAATTCAACTTCTTCTTTGTGTTTGGCTTGGGATGCGTCCAGGCTCTTCTCCAAGGCTGCTATTTTCTTCTGGTGGTCTTCCTTGGCCTGGTCCAACTCTCCCAGCAGGGTGGCCAGTTTCCCTACTGCATCCTGGTCATATTCAACAGAAAACAAAGTTAGAGCTGGACTGGAACAAAAGGCTGAACACCCTGTAGTTATCCAGGGCCAGGGTAGGTGACCATTGGTCTGGCAGTTTACCTGTTCCCGGTGCTTGATCTTCTCATTCTCCTTCCGCAGTAACACTGCACTCTGCTGGGTCTCAGCCTTTTCCAGCAGCAAGGCACTCATCCTCTCGGTCAGCTCCTGGTAGAACAGAATAGAATACTACAGAATTCAACAGAATAGAATGGAAAACACATTACTGACAAACACTTCCAAAGCACTTCAGCAGCTGCAAAGCATGAGCTTATTAATTTTCTCATGTAAGAATTTAAGACCACAAACCTGTATGATGGAGTCACCTGAATTGCCTTTTGGCTGAGACTTGAGGGTGTCAACCTCCGTTTCCAAATCTGGAAAAAAATATTGAGAAACAGAAAGGACAAAAATTATTACAAAAGGAAATCCAACTAGCTACTGTATTGATTTATCAATGATCACAACATTGAATGGTAAACAGTGTATGACAGATGCTTCATGAACCTGCACATTTGGACTTCATCTTCTGTATGGCAGCCATCTGCTTCTTGGCAAACTTGATGAGGTCATCCTTGGACAGCGTGTCCAACTTCATAGAGGTAACAGTAAGACAAAGAGGTAACAGTAAGACAGAGAGGTAACAGTAACACAGAGGTAAAAGTAAGACATAGAAAGCATTATTTGCTGCACCTTTGACTTAGCGCCAGCTGGAGGTGATGAGGCCACAAACCCTGGGCTGGTGTCCTGCTATTGTGGAGAAAAAAACTATTACATAAAACAGAATACAGTTACGACACACACACACCTTGTTCGATATCGACTGAATTGCAGTTGACGACTGCCAACTGAATGATCTACATATCACCTTTGATACACTGGGGCCCCTCAGGGGTGAGTGCTTAGTCCCCTCCTGTACTCCCTGTTCACCTACGACTGCGTGGCCAAACACGACTCCAACAACACAATTAAGTTTGCTGACGACACAACAATGATAGGCCTGATTACCGACAACGATGAGACAGCCTATAGGGAGGAGGTCAGAGACCTGGCAGTGTGGTGGCAGGACAACAACCTCTCCCTCAATGTGAGCAAGACAAAGGAGATGATCGTGGACTACAGGAAAAGGAGGGCCGAACACGCTCCCATTAACATCGACGGGGCTGTAGTGGAGCGGGACGAGAGTGTCAAGGTCCTTGGTGTCCACATCACCAACAAACTATCATGGTCTAAACACACCAAGACAGTCGTGAAGAGGGCACGACAACACCTTTTCCCCCTCAGGAGACTGAAAAGATTTGGCATGGGTCCCAGATCCTCAAAGAGTTCTACAGCTGCACCATCGAGAGCATCCTGAACGGTTGCATCACCGCCTGGTATGGCAACTGCTCGGCATCTGACCATAAGGCGCTACATAGGGTAGTGCGTACGGCCCAGTACATCACTGGGGCCAAGCTTCCTGCCATCCAGGACCTATATACTAGGCGGTGTCAGAGGAAGGCCCAAGTCATAGACTCTTCTCTCTGCTATCGCACGGCAAACGGTACCGGAGTGCCAAGTCTAGGACCAAAAGGCTCCTTACCAAGCCATAAGACTGCTGAACAATTAATCAAATGCCCCCCCCCAAAAAAAACATATTTTCAGTGTACTGAGGGGGAAAAGGTGTTGTAGTGCCCTCTTCACGACTGTCTTGGTGATGTGGACACCAAGGAACATGAAACTCTCGTCCCGCTCCACTAAGCAGTTGTTACAACAACAAGAAAATTGCTTTGTCCAAATACTGATGGATTCGACTAATAAAAGAATGGACGACCAGACCAGAGAGGTCCAGCACCTAAAGAACAGTTTGCAGTTCTCCCAGGGTCAGCTCGATGAGTTGAAACAGGAGAACGGCAAGATTACAGCAATCTGTAAGTCATTGAGAGAGGACATCAGTTCTGTCTGTGAATCCATGATAACAACGACGGATAAATCTCGAGGGACAATCAAGGCGTAACAACATGGTTGTGGACAGAATTGCAGAATCTCCACGAGACCTGGATGTAGTCTGAGGACCAAGTGAGGGAAATGATTTACATTTACATTTACATTTTAGTCATTTAGCAGACGCTCTTATCCAGAGCGACTTACAGTTTAGTGAATACATATATATATATTTTTTTATACTGGCCCCCCGTGGGAATCGAACCCACAACCCTGGCGTTGCAAACGCCATGCTCTATTAACTGAGCTACATCCCTGCCGGCCATTCCCTACCCTGGACGACGCTGGGCCAATTGTGCGCCGCCCATGAGTCTCCCGGTCGCGGCCGGCTGCGACAGAGCCTGGATTCGAACCAGGATCTCTAGTGGCACAGTCAGCACTGCGATGCAGTGCCTTAGACCACTGCGCAAATGATCTCTGAGAAATTGAAGATAGACCACAGGAAGATTGAGGTGGAGCGTGCCCACAGGACTGGAAAACCCACCACCAGCCCAGGTGACAGGCCCAGGCCGATACTGGTCAAGTTCCTGAGGTTCTGTTCTGGAAAGAGCCAAGAACTTTAGAGGAACGTATATATTTCTCAAAGAGGACTATCCTGAAGCGGTGCCCCAGAAGAGGAAAGAACTTATCCCAGCCATGAAAACTGCCTGAGCGCGTGGGGACATTGCTTACATCCGCTATGACAGGCTCATTGTCCACCCTCCCTCCCAGAAGCCTGGAAGGGATGAGAGAGCCAAGCCTATGGGTTCGTAGCTTCAACCCCGCAGCACACACACAGACACGCCAATTGATTAATGGACTGCTGAATGTATATTTTTTTTATCTTGCTTTGTTTGCCCTTTCCAGTATTATGTCTATCTCTGATAAGCTACCCAGGAAAGGGCTGAAAATAGCCCATATTACTATATGTAGCCTTAGAAATAAGGTTCATGAAATCAATAACTTCCTAACATCAGATAACATTCATATATTAGCCCTTTCTGAGACTAATTTGGATAATTCATTTGATGATACAGCAGTAGCAATACAAGAATACAACATCTATAGAAGAGACAGAAATGCTTATGGGGGAGGTGTTGCTGTATGTATATGTATATATGTATATGTATATATATATATATATATATATATATATATATAGTGGGGGAAAAAAGTATTTAGTCAGCCACCAATTGTGCAAGTTCTCCCACTTAAAAAGATGAGAGAGGCCTGTAATTTTCATCATAGGTACACGTCAACTATGACAGACAAAATGAGTAAATAAAATCCAGAAAATCACATTGTAGGATTTTTAATGAATTTATTTGCAAATGATGGTGGAAAATAAGTATTTGGTCAATAACAAAAGTTCCTCAATACTTTGTTATATACCCTTTGTTGGCAATGACACAGGTCAAACGTTTTCTGTAAGTCTTCACAAGGTTTTCACACACTGTTGCTGGTATTTTGGCCCATTCCTCCATGCAGATCTCCTCTAGAGCAGTGATGTTTTGGGGCTGTTGCTGGGCAACACAGACTTTCAACTCCCTCCAAAGATGTTCTATGGGGTTGAGATCTGGAGACTGGCTAGGCCACTCCAGGACCTTGAAATGCTTCTTACGAAGCCACTCCTTCGTTGCCCGGGCGGTGTGTTTGGGATCATTGTCATGCTGAAAGACCCAGCCACGTTTCATCTTCAATGCCCTTGCTGATGGAAGGAGGTTTTCACTCAAAATCTCACGATACATGGCCCCATTCATTCTTTCCTTTACACGGATCAGTCGTCCTGGTCCCTTTGCAGAAATACAGCCCCAAAGCATGATGTTTCCACCCCCATGCTTCACAGTAGGTATGGTGTTCTTTGGATGCAACTCAGCATTCTTTGTCCTCCAAACACGACAAGTTGAGTTTTTACCAAAAAGTTATATTTTGGTTTCATCTGACCATATGACATTCTCCCAATCCTCTTCTGGATCATCCAAATGCACTCTAGCAAACTTCAAACGGGCCTGGACATGTACTGGCTTAAGCAGGGGGACACGTCTGGCACTGCAGGATTTGAGTCCCTGGCGACGTAATGTGTTACTGATGGTAGGCTTTGTTACTTTGGTCCCAGCTCTCTGCAGGTCATTCACTAGGTCCCCCCGTGTGGTTCTGGGATTTTTGCTCACCGTTCTTGTGATCATTTTGACCCCACGGGGTGAGATCTTGCGTGGAGCCCCAGAACGAGGGAGATTATCAGTGGTCTTGTATGTCTTCCATTTCCTAATAATTGCTCCCACAGTTGATTTCTTCAAACCAAGCTGCTTACCTATTGCAAATTCAGTCTTCCCAGCCTGGTGCAGGTCTACAATTTTGTTTCTGGTGTCCTTTGACAGCTCTTTGGTCTTGGCCATAGTGGAGTTTGGAGTGTGACTGTTTGAGGTTGTGGACAGGTGTCTTTTATACTGGTAACAAGTTCAAACAGGTGCCATTAACACAGGTAACGAGTGGAGGACAGAGGAGCCTCTTAAAGAAGAAGTTACAGGTCTGTGAGAGCCAGAAATATTGCTTGTTTGTAGGTGACCAAATACTTATTTTCCACCATAATTTGCAAATAAATTCATTAAAAATCCTACAATGTGATTTTCTGGAGAAAAAAATTCTCAATTTGTCTGTCATAGTTGACGTGTACCTATGATGAAAATTACAGGCCTCTCTCATCTTTTTAAGTGGGAGAACTTGCACAATTGGTGGCTGACTAAATACTTTTTTCCCCCACTGTATGTATGTATGTATGTATGTATGTATGTATGTATGTATGTATATATTATGTATATATATATATATATATATATATATATATATATATATATATATATATATATATTCAGAGCCATATTCCTGTAATGCTTAGAGAAGATCTTATGTCAAGTGTTACTGAAGTGCTGTGGTTGCAGGTTCACTTGCCACATCTAAACCCTTTTCTTTTGGGGTGTTGCTATAGGCCACCAAGTGCGAACAGTCAGTATCTAAATAATGTGTGAAATGCTTGATAGTGTATGTGATGTAAACAGAGAGGTCTACTTTCTTGGGGACCTGAATACTGACTGGTTTTCATCAAGCTGTCCGCTCAAGAGGAAGCTTCTTACTGTAATCAGTGCCTGTAATCTGGTTCAGGTTATTAATCAACCTACCACGGTGTTTACAAACACTACAGGAACAAGATCATCCACATGTATCGATCACATTTTCACTAATACTGTAGAACTTTGTTCTAAAGCTGTATCCGTACCCATTGGATGCAGTGATCACAATATAGTGGCTATATCCAGGAAAGCCAAAGTTCCAACAGCTGGGCCTAAAATAGTGTATAAGAGATCATATAAAATATTTTGCTGTGACTCATATGTGGATGATGTAAAAAATATTTGTTGGTCTGATGTGATTAATAATGAGCATCCAGATGGTGCCCTTGATCAATTTATGAAATTGCTTCTTCCAATTATTGATAAACATGCACCTGTTAGGAAATTGACTGTTAGAACTGTTAAGGCTCCATGGATTGATGAGGAATTGAAAAACTGTATGGTTGAAAGAGATGGGGAAAAACGAGTGGCTAATAGATCTGGCTGCACATCTGACTGGCTGACTTACTGCAAATTGAGAAATGATGTGACTAAACTCAACAAAAAGAAGAAACTGTATTATGAAGCCAAGATCAATGATATAAAGAATGATGGAAAAAAACTTGAGCACTTTAAATGAAATTATGGGTAGAAAGACAAATTCAACTCCATCTTTCATCGAATCAGATGGGTTATTCATCACAAAACCATTTGATTTTGCCAATTATTTTAATGATTACTTCATTGGCAAAGTGGGCAAATTTAGGCAGGAAATGCCAGCAATGAACAGTGAGCCATCGTATTCATGCATAAAAAAACTAATAATGAAAGCATTGCAAGTTCGAATTTTGTAAAGTTAGTGTGGGAGAGGTGGAAAAATTATTGTTATTGATCAATAATGACAAACCTCCTGGCATTGACAACTTAGATGGAAAGCTACTGAGAATGGTAGCTGACTCTATAGCCACTCCTATCTGTCATATCTTTAATCTGAGCCTAGAGGAAAGTCTTTGTCCTCAGGCCTGGAGGGAAGCCAAAGTAATTCCGCTACCCAAGAATGGTAAAGTGGCCTTTACTAGTTCTAACAGTAGACCTATAAGCTTGCTGCCAGCTCTTAGCAAACTGTTGAAAAAATTTGACCTAATACAATGCTATTTCTCTGTAAACAAATTAACAACAGACTTTCAACATGCTTATAGGGAAGGGCACTCAACATGTGTGACTGACACAAATTACCGATGATTGGTTGAAAGAAATTGATAATAAGAAGATTGTGGGAGCTGTACTGTTAGATTTCAGTGCAGCCTTTGATATTATTGACCATAACCTGTTGTTGAAAACGTATGTGTTATGTCTTTTCAACCTCTGCCATATCGTGGATGCAGAGCTATCTATCTAATAGAACTCAAAGACTTTTCTTTAATGGAAGCTTCTCTAATGTCAAACATGTAAAGTGTGGTGTACCACAGGGCAGCTCTCTAGGCCCTCTACTCTTTTCTATTTTTACCAATGACCTGCTACAGGCATTAAACAAAGCATGTGTGTCCATGTATGCTGATGATTCAACCATATACGCATCAGCAACCATATCTAATGAAGTCACCGAAACCCTTAAAGAGTTGCAGTCTGTTTTGAAACTGATCCTGAACATCTATAAAACTAAGAGCATTGTATTTGGTACAAATCATTCCCTAAGTTCTAGACCTCAGCTGAATCTGGTAATGAATGGTGTGGCTGTTGAACAAGTTAAGGAGACTAAATTACTTGGCGTTACCTTAGATTGTAAACTATCATGGTCAAAACATATAGATTAAATGGTTGTAAAGATGGGGAGAGGCCTGTCCATAATAAAGAGATGGTCTGCTTTTTTGACACCACACTCCAAAAAGCAAGTTCTGCATGCTCTAGTTTTGTCTAATCTTGATTATTGTCCAGTTGTGTGGTCCAGTGCTGCAAGGAAAGACCTAGTTAAGCTGCAGCTGGCCCAAAACAGAGCGGCACGTCTTGCTCTTCATTGTAATCAGAGGGCTGATATAAATACTATGCATGCCAGTCTCTCTTGGCTAAGAGTTGATGAGAGACTGACTGCATCACTTCTTATTTTTATAAGAAACATTAATGTGTTGAAAATCCCAAATTGTTTGCATAGTCAACTTACACACAGCTCTGACACACACACCTACCCCACCAGACATGCCACCAGGGGTCTTTTCAAAGTCCCCAAATCCAGAACAAATTCAAGAAAGCGTACAGTATTAAATAGAGCCATTATTGCATGGAACTCCTTTCCAGCTCGTATTGCTCAAATAAACAGCAAACCTGGTTTCAGAAAACAGATAAAGCAACACCTCACAGCACAACGCCTCTCCCCTATTTGACCTAGATAGATTGTGTGTATGTATTGATATGTAGGCTGTGTGTGCCTTAAAAAAAAAGTATGTAGTTCTGTCCTTGAGCTGTTCTTGTCTATTAATGTTCTGTATTATGTCATGTTTCATGTTTTGTGTGGACCCCAGGAAGAGTAGCTGCTGCTTTTGCAACAGCTAATGGGGATCCTAATAAAATACCCCATTTGTTTTTACAGAACATTAATAGACAAGAATAGCTCAAGGACAGAACTACATACATTAGGCAGAAACTTAGGCAGGAAATGCCAACAATGAACAGTGAGCCATTATATTCATGCATAAAAAAACAAGTAATAAAATACCCCATTTGTTTTTACACTGCTGCTACCCGCTGTCTATTATCTATGTATTTACAAATTACATCGACTAACCTGTACCCCCGCACATTGACTCGGTACTGGTACCCCCTGTATATAAACTTGTTATTGTTATTTTCTAGTGTTACTTTTTATTATTTTTTACTTTAGTTTATTTGGTAAATATTTTCTTAACTCTTTCTTGAAATGCATTGTTGGTTAATGGCTTGTAAGTAAGCATTTCACGGTAAGGTAAACACCTGTTGTATTCGGCGAATGTGACAAATAAAGTTTGATATGATCATACATTACTAGCTACTCATTATTACTTTCTAAATCAGTCAGTTATAATTTAACTACAATGCATCACGGATTTTAAGCTGCTCTCGAACAATGCAACACACACACACCAGTGGAGGCTGCTGAGGGGAGGACGGCTCATAATAATGGCTGGAATGGAGTGTAATGGCTGGAATAGAGTGAATGGAATGGTATCAAACGTATGAAAACCATGTGTTTGATATCATTCCACTCACTCCATTCCAGTCATGTGGTCCTCTGTAGCTCAATTGGTAGAGCATGGCGCTTGTAATGCCAGGGTAGTGGGTTCGATCCCCGGGACCACCCATACGTAAAAATGTATCCACACATGACTGTAAGTCGCTTTGGATAAAAGCGTCTGCTAAATGGCATATTATTATTATGAGCCATCCTCCCCTCAGCAGCCTCCACTGACACACACGCGCGCGGAAACATCATGCATAGCAAATTCCTTAGGCAACAATCTCACCTTTGCAGCCTAGGTAAACACTACAAAAGCGATGAGTAGGTATCACGTAGCTAATCTCATCTAGCTAGATAGCTAGCTATCTTTGCCTGGTGATACGGAAGCATGTGAATTCTTCTGGATAAGGAAAAAGCTAGCTAGTTGTCCATGGCTAACATTACAGTACCTTAATAGCTAGCTAACTACACCAGTAACTTTGGCAAGATGTATGACTTAACTATAATTTATTGTTACAATGGCGATTTAGTTGTCATTACTAGTATTAACGTTAGCTATGCCAGCTAGCCAGACATGCTACAATCACTTCCTTGGAGACGTCGTTGGACCAAACTTACCTCCATCTTGATCGACGCAATGTAAGTACCCAATCGTTAACGGAATCGGTAGTCTGTAACTAAATATCTGATATATGTTCTTATATTGCACAGTTCCTTTGGTTACTGTACGATTTGAAAACTAAAGGATTTCAATATTTTGATGCGCTCCAAATGCTAAGCTTCAGCTCATTTCCGCTTCGTCAACCAACCGTACGTACGTACGTCACTATCTATATTGGCGATCACACAATTTAATGTGAACCCCGCCACCGACTATTCGGGATGGAAACAGGATTCCCCCAAAAACTGAACAACGAAAAAACGACCAAAAAATAAATAAATAAAATAAGCTAAATAAAAAAATCAAACACATCTGATCCCTACACAGGCTCTAGGGGAACCTGGGAGGGTGGTTCTTCCTGCGCCAGTACCCCTTGCAAATCTTCAGATGTAAAATCCTTAAATCCCAAATACCTTTCTGCTGCAGCCACAACAATGTCCAGTTTCTTAGACTTCTTTGAGACTTGTGCTGTACAGTTTATAACTGTGGCAATGAACGCAACAAAATCCATATTTTTAACACACAGGGTATATTTTGTCTGGAAGCAAACATGTACTACAGGCTGTGGTGTATCCACTACCATATCTTCACTAGCTTCACTTGTTTTCTCAATGCTTTTAATCGCTTCCGCATAGGAGATTCGATTGACCGCTCTAACTTTTGCCACCTCAATCCAGGATCATGATCCCTACAGCTCTTACGGCGTATCTTACATAACCAAGCTTCACATGTGTAGGTATTTGCTCTTTATCAAAAAACAACAGGACCGACAGACTTTCTTATTTTTCTCCATTCACCCAGCGGGTCAGACGCCAGACAACAACCACACCAGGAATTCTCTTCAGGTATTCAACCTGAACATCTGTCGTCACCCCTGAGATGACTCCTTTGACGGGTGCTCTACTCTGAAGTTAAAAACACTTCTGTTGTCTGGATTCTTTTGAGGCTCATTGCAATCTTCCTCTGTTCTTCAGAAATACAATGAATCAAAATAAGACCACTTCTGGTCACTCTGACAGACTCCACTTTTCCAAGCGCATACTTCACCATTTTCGACACCTCAAACGGTTTTCCCACATATGCATCCTTACTCAACAAATGCATCCCAACAAGAAGCGATTCATTATAATTCACACATGTATCCTCCACTCCAATTTTAGACAATTTCATTTTTTTTCTCCTCCAGCTTTTGATGCTACTGTTGTCCATTCAGAACATTCGTCTTCACCAAATTTGCTCGACGCGCCGCATGATTCGAACTCAGCATCCACTTCCGCCATCTTCCCACCAGATCAATGATTGTGTATTGGCATTACATTGATTTTCACATCTAATGTGCTTGAAATAGCAGTACAAGGGGGATATCTGAACTTCTACAAATCAGTCAAGTTTCACCTTCATACCTGAGCTTCTTCTCATGACTCTTGAGTAACCCAAACTGACAGCCGTAGGCCTACTCGATAGTGCCTACCAGACTTCAGACTATCCAATAGTCAAAAGTGCAGAATTTCAAAGTAACATGAGTTATTTATACACTGTAATAGCCATTTCCAGGTGAACAAAATAGAAGAGCAGTTGCAGATAAAGTAAATCATAAATCAATCAGATTAATTACAAGTTGCAAGAGGGAGACACCTCCAGCACTAACCTCCATCACAGAAGCAGAGAAAATGTCTAACTGGCCCCTTGGAGACAGGTCCATTATATCCTAATCCGACAGCAAAATAATACTGTAATCACCAGCCAAGAGGCTTGTAGGAAGTCAAAACAAAAGGCACTGACTTTGTCAGCTGCTATAGAATACAATAATAATATGTGTGTCCTCCTGGGTACTTATACATATTTTTTTTTTTTACATTTTAGTCATTTAGCAGATGCTCTTATCCAGAGCGACTTACAGTTAGTGAGTGCGTACATTTTTCATACTGGCCCCCCGTGGGAAACGAACCCACAACCCTGGCGTTGCAAGCGCCATGCGCTACCAACTGAGCTACAGGGGACCCTGTGGCATAAATAACTAGTATAAACATATGAGTTTAATTCATAACATACCACATCTGGTCTAGTGACCATCGACCTGAGTGTTACAAACAGAACACTGGAAATCATGTGTATTACAGAAAGGGAAAATATATACACTGCTCAAAGAAATAAAGGGAACACTAAAATAACACATCCTAGATCTGAATGAATGAAATAATCTTATTAAATACTTTTTTCTTTACATAGTTGAATGTGCTGACAACAAAATCACACAAAAATTATCAATGGAAATCAAATTCATCAACCCATGGAGGTCTGGATTTGGAGTCACCCTCAAAATTAAAGTGGAAAACCACACTACAGGCTGATCCAACTTTGATGTAATGTCCTTAAAACAAGTCAAAATGAGGCTCAGTAGTGTGTGTGGCCTCCATGTGCCTGTATGACCTCCCTACAACGCCTGGGCATGCTCCTGATGAGGTGGCGTATGGTCTCCTGAGGGATCTCATCCCAGACCTGGACTAAAGCATCCGCCAACTCCTGGACAGTCTGTGGTGCAACAATGATGTCCCAGATGTGCTCAATTGGATTCAGGTCTGGGGAACGGGCGGGCCAGTCCATAGCATCAATGCCTTCCTCTTGCAGGAACTGCTGACACACTCCAGCCACATGAGGTCTAGCATTGTCTTGCATTAGGAGGAACCCAGGGCCAACCGCACCAGGATATGGTCTCACAAGGGGTCTGAGGATCTCATCTCGGTACCTAATGGCTGTCAGGCTACCTCTGGCGAGCACATGGAGGGCTGTGCGGCCCCCCAAAGAAATGCCACCCCACACCATGACTGACCCACCGCCAAACCGGTCATGCTGGAGGATGTTGCAGGCAGCAGAACGTTCTCCACGGCGTCTCCAGACTCTGTCACGTCTGTCACGTGCTCAGTGTGAACCTGCTTTCATCTGTGAAGAGCACAGGGCGCCAGTGGCGAATTTGCCAATCTTGGTGTTCTCTGGCAAATGCCAAACGTCCTGCACGGTGTTGGGCTGTAAGCACAACCCCCACCTGTGGACGTCGGGCCCTCGTACCACCCTCATGGAGTCTGTTTCTGACCGTTTGAGCAGACACATGCACATTTGTGGCCTGCTGGAGGTCATTTTGCAGGGCTCTGGCAGTGCTCCTCCTGCTCCTCCTTGCACAAAGGCGGAGATAGCGGTCCTGCTGCTGGGTTGTTGCCCTCCTACGGCCTCCTCTACGTCTCCTGATGTACTGGCCTGTCTCCTGGTAGCGCCTCCATGCTCTGGACACTACGCTGACAGACACAGCAAACCTTCTTGCCACAGCTCACATTGATGTGCCATCCTGGATGAGCTGCACTACCTGAGCCACTTGTGTGGGTTGTAGACTCCGTCTCATGCTACCACTAGAGTGAAAGCACCGCCAGCATTCAAAAGTGACCAAAACATCAGCCAGGAAGCATAGGAACTGAGAAGTGGTCTGTGGTCACCACCTGCAAAACCAGTGCTTTATTGGGGGTGTCTTGCTAATTGCCTATAATTTCCACCTGTTGTCTATTCCATTTGCACAACAGCATGTGAAATTTATTGTCAATCAGTGTTGCTTCCTAAGTGGACAGTTTGATTTCACAGAAGTGTGATTGACTTGGAGTTACATTGTGTTGTTTAAGTGTTCCCTTTATTTTTTTGAGCAGTGTACATATGCTAAACATATACATCCTAAATATCTCCATTACATACACCAACGACTTTAAGTCAATCAGTCAAGGTGTGGGATTGTGTGGGATGCGAGAAACTATTGATGTTCTGTAGACTGGACTAGGTAACGCAAATCAAATGAAAAAAAGGGCCTGCCCTGCCTCAGATTTGTTTCTCAGGCTAGACAGCATTGGTACATGTAGCTACTAAATCATTACCCGTCTGTCTGTCATTCCCTACACGCTATTCAGCAGGCTCCAGGAGTGAAGTTACTCGATCCAGTCAACACAGTGGGTATTACCACCGGATAGCCCATACAGGAAAAGGTTAGTGTTATCCATTCACAGAGAAAAGCTATGAGAGTGGCCTGAGATGGTTTCAGTGTGTTTTAATCATTGAGTATTAATACAGTGTATTAACCCTGCATGGCTGCTAGGTAGAGCGAGAGAGAGGGCTGGTTGTAAATGAGATTCCTGTTGGGATGGAGAGCATGAGTGGGCCTAACAGTATAACCAAAGGGCATTAGAGTAATGATTAACTACCATAAGGGTCACTATGGTCATCTTACTGCTGCTAAAACAACTAATGGAAGAAAAAAAATATATATTCTTGATTGTATAGGCCTGTGTGCTGTGATATTGAGAGGCATCATTCTTTGACAACAGTGTGATAAAAGGATAGTAGTATCTGTAGCTTAAAAAAATGACGTACCTAAATGTTCAATATAATGTAGCTGTAACAGAGACCCCTCTGTCCCCTCTGACCATGGATGGACACCACTGACACCAGTGTTCAGAATATATGGAAATGTTAAAAATGTCTTTACGTTTCCAGGAAGAGAGGAAGCACTAAGGAAGATTAAAAGGGGTCAGAACCTGGCAGAGAGGAAGGGCTGCCAAGACGTAGATCAATAGCACACTCATCTCAGTCATCTCTGTCCCAACATCAAGCAACTCCCATACATGAACACACCTGTAAATGTGCTCTGCACCATTTAAAACAAGTTCATTAAAAGACATACAGAAACATTCAGAACATACATATCATACAGTATTTGCTTTACAATCATCCATACAAATTATGAACTTGTGAAATAAGTACATCAAGAAGGAGGGGCTGTGGTTATATCAAAAACAAGGTGAGAAAAAAAGGACATGGGTCCAAAATGACATGAGTTTGGTAGTATAAAGAACAGTTTAATTAACGGCAACAGCAAATATATCAGGTCCCAGAATCTGATGATAGGCTAATTTGCTCAGTCACTTGGGCA